GGACTTGTATGCATGCATATAAGCATAACCAATGGACACAAGACACTGGGGGGTAGGGGAGGTCAGGGGATTGTCAAGGGCGGGGGGAAATAAAGAACACATATGTAATACCCTTTGTAATACTTTAAGCAATAAAAAAAAGAAAGAAAAAAAAAGAAATGCGTCCTCAGGCGATCTCGTTGTACGAACATAGATGCAGAAGCCTAGATGGTACAGCCCACTCCACACCTAGGCTGTGTGATCGACCCTACTGCTCCTGGCGATAGGCCGGCGTGGCATGTTACTGCACAAACAACACGAGGTAAGTCACACAAGAGAAAATGATGCAATCAGAGGCGCAGGAAACACAAGATGCATGAGGCTGGTGCTGGTATAACACCCCCCCCCCCCCCCAGCTGAGGGCAGGCCACTGGGCCGCAGGCCAGACGCAGGGTAGCGAGAGAGGCGGGAGGGGCATGGCAGGTGGGCAGGGACCACGGGGAGTACCAGCAGCAGGTGGATGTGGAGGATCCAGGGCCACAGGTGAAGCAGAGGCCACCCCCAGAGAGACCCGAAGCGGGAACACTCGGCCCTGGGGTGGTCTGGGTAGGATGGGCAAAATGGTAGTGTGGTGTCTGATGGTGAGAGGTGAGCACAGGGAGGGAGAGGTCCTGGGGGCTGGTGGGGTAGGGGATCTGTAAGGCTGGACAATCTTCCAGGCTCGCAAAGGCACAGGGAAAAACACAGCCAAATGTGTCTCTAGACTGCCGTTAGCCAACTAAGTTAAAAGAACAGAGAACACGTTACTTGCCACTAATCAAGGAAGTTATTTAAAACAGCCTTTTCTTTCTTTTTCATATCAAAGATCCAAAGGGCTTAGGGCGTTTCCCGTGCAGCCTTGAACTTCCAGGGAAGCATCTGCTTAGTGCTGGGGAGGAGGAGGGGACAGAGGGCGCTGCCAGGAGAGCCCAGGCCGCAGCGCCAAGCATCAGGCCAGGGAGTGGTTTCCCACAGAAGAACGGTTTTGCCCAAAGTCATGTAGAATTCATGCAAAGCTAGAGCCCAAACCCAGGTCCAGGGTGTACCTGGACCCAGGGAACAGAGAGGGGAATGGGGTCCTCCTCCCGGGCCCTCCCAGCTTCTCCCAGGAAGGGGTGACTCCAGGGGCTGGGTGTGACCCCCGCTGTGGGTGGTCCAGGCCCACAGGCTCGTCTTCACATCCATTCAGCTGGGCACGTGCTTAGGAGTGCCGCTCTGAAGGTTCACCGAGGCCACACTGTGCGAGCCCAGCGAAGGGCCCAGGTGAGAGTGGGCCTGCCCACAGGACAGGTTAGGGCACATGCGACAGGGTCAGAGGGTGGGGGCAGGGCAGCCCCTGGGCCTGCTGCTGGTGCACTGGGTCTCCTCTGAAGGGGGGTCCTGAGCATCCCAGAGCCCAGTCTCCCCCCCTACCCCCAATCTGCAGCCACTGACTCTAGCAGGTAGGACCTGGAGTTGTCTCCAGGCAGCCGCAGAGGCGGAGACCACCGCTGGGGGAGGGCCACCCCTCCCCCCAGGAATGTGTAGCAGAGTCCACCATCCTGACCAGGTGCGGTCCCGGCAGGAAGGGGCCTAGTGGTGCTCTGCCCCTTCCTCTTCCCCTCCCTCACCCTCTGCCCTCCCCCCTCCCCCACACAGCAGGTGCCCTGGGTCCCCCACCAGCTCCTTGGAGGGCTGGGGCCTGCTCTGTCACGGGCAGATCTCACACAGGAGGAAGGCCCCTTGCTGCCCTGCTCTGCCCTCTGGGGCCCGAAGCGGAGGGCAGGGGAAGGGGCTCCACCTGTAGGAGGGCTGGCCGGTGGCAGCTTAGCAGGTCATCATGCATCAGGACATTGCCCCGAGGGTCTGTCTTCTGCCCCAGCTGCCACCCCACAGACCACATTATCCACACGCACACACACGCACACACACACACGCAGCTCCCCAGACTCTCTCTGCCCACTGCTCAGCGCCGCTGGAAGCCCCAGCCGTGAAGCCCGTGGTCACCCAGGGCCCTTGGCCCTCCCTGCTCACCTGTGGGCTCCATGGCTCCTCTGAGGACAGGCCAGGCCAGCTGCCTGGAGGCCGAGGCCAGGAACGGGAGGTGCAGGTAAGCCTGGCAGCTGTTTTGACCTGGGGCTGTCACAGGAACCTGAGAACAATGCCCACTCCCTGCCTGGCACAGCCCCACCTTCCCTCCTGGTGGGAGGAGCCAGGCAGCTTTGCAGTGTGTCCGGATCTGGCAGCCAGGCAGCTCAGTCCCAGGCCTTCCGCTAGGTGCCCCACCGCTGGTGCTGGCGATACTTTACCGACAACCGAGGGACACAGCGGCCCCATCGGTGGCTTTCCTGCTCTCAGAACCAAGCCCAGGGTTTTGCCCTGCTGGCCTCACCCCACTCCCCCACCGTCTCCAGCCTGGGTGCCTTCATAAGTACATTGAAGACCTTTTCAGTTACAGCTACGATCGTTACTCAGCTCAATGAAGGTATCTTTATTTCTTGTTTTTATAGCGGAGGAGGACCTTACCCCGTGTGGTTTGTTTCATGTTTTTTTTTTCAGTAATTTGAAAGATTGGGAGTTTAGCCTGGCAGGTGTTAAGACTCAGTTGTTGAACATCAACCCATGCACCAAAGGTCACCGGTTCGATTCCCCGTCAGGAGAGACGCCCGGGTTTCAGGTTCCATCCCTGGTGGGGGCCATGCAAGAGGCAGCCAATTGATGTTTCTCTCTCCTTGATGTCTCTCTCTGACTCTCCCTTCCCCTCTAAGAATCAATTTTAAAAAACCAAAAAACATTTGAACTTTAATCCAGTGGAAAATTCTTATAATTTCATAAACCTTTCATCCTCTATTTGCTTATACAATGTGATATTAATGCCCTTTCATGAGTTATGACACTGACTCATTCTGTGTGTACTTACCCTCCCTCTTTTCCCTCCCCACCCAATAGGATCAACTTTGTGTCTAAATATATACTGAATAAACTTAACCTTCAATACTTGAATTTTCACTTCCAAATGGTATCATTTATTTACATAAAGATGAAGAAACACCCTTTTCTATTTGAAAATACATTTTTATTGCCCTAGCTGGTTTGGCTCAGTGGATAGAGTTGGCCTGCAGACTGAAGGGTCCCGGGTTCAATTCGGATCAAGGGCACATACCCCGATTGCAGGCTCGATCCCCAGTGGGGGGCGTGCAGGAGGCAGCCCATCAATGATTCTCTCATCACTGTTTCTCTCTCTCTGAAATGAATATATATATTTAAATGTTTTTGTTGATTTCAGAGGGAGGGAGATAGAAACAGCAATGATAAGAATCATTGATAGGCTGCCTCCTGCAACCCGGGCATGAGCCCTGACCGGGAACTGAACCATGACCTCTGGGTTCATAGGATGATGAGCAACCACTGAGCCACGCCCACGCCCTCTGGGCTGGGCTGTTAGGATTCTTGTGCATGTTTACCTTGAACTCTAATTCTCACCCTTCTTACAATAGGACAATCCCATTCCACTCCCACCGGAGGTCATCGCCTTCCCTTCCCCCAGTGACCAGCTGTCAGCTCCATCTTGGGCTCAATGGGTTTTTGTGAGCTGGCAGCCACCAAGGCCTTTCCTTCCTGCTCCTGTGAACACGGCATGGGGGGAGCAGCCAGCGCCCCAAGTCCCAGGGCCTCCACACTGCTCCCTCGCTCTGCACACTTGGGGGAGGGGGTAGTTCCCGGAGTCACAAGAGAAGGCGGGAGCCC